GAAAGTAGAAACAACGAGTTTCTACTTTCAGTTCTATCCATCACAATGTACTGTCTCAATCGACTGTAACCAGGCCGGGTGTGAGTCATTGATTGATTGATTCTATTCAAGTCTTACTAAGGGCTGGACCAAAACGTAAACCTCCCTGGTCAGAGGCATTCGCACCTTGAGATCTTGAGAGAAAAAGAAGATAGGAAAATCTTCTGGGATTTTATTCTGTACATTAAAATTTATTGATCATCATCTTTTAAGGAACTAGCTGTGTGTATACCTTGGTTATTTGTGCATATTGTAGAATTTTCTTTGACTTTGCTCTCAGATCTTCATTTAGGGGTCATAATCAGAGCCAAATTCATTGCACTTCTGTTTTAGGTTAGAAGCCAGAAAGGCTCTCGTACATTTGCACTCATTGATTAAATGCTGGGTCACATTTTAGTGACTTTGAGATTTGATGTGTTTATCAGTCAGGTGTTGGCACTTTAGAACTTTCCTTCCAATGGTGGAATGAAAGACTTTGTTCCCTCTTAGAGGAGTTTTAGGCATCAATCAACACCTAAACCCCAATTCAGGAGAGGATTTGTGAATAGACAGACTGAATTTATTTAACACAGTGTACCAAGCACTAGGAATACAAATACAAGTAGAAAGACAAGTCCCTGCCCTCAAGGAGCTTCCATTTCAGTGGAGGAAGACAACACATAAAAGGGGCCTGAAGGGGCTGGGGGGAGGTTGAGAATATAGGGACTCCTGAAGCTAGACTTGATTTTGTCCATTTATTAGGAATCCAGGGAACTCCAGTCATAGGATTTTCATCTAGAAAGTTGCCTCAGCATTTCTAGTCCTTCTCCCTTATTTTATAGCTAAAGAAACTGGGACTCATTATTCTTAGTTCTGTCTGGAGATGTGAGGGGGGAGCTCTCCACATCAGCACTCTCTTAGCTACCATTCACTCCTGGGACAAAACAAGGCTATTGGGAATCCCATGACATTTAGCTTCTCCACACAGCATTCCGCATCCATGTGAAAATAAGCCTGATTATCGGGGCTAGCTAGAGGGAAAGACAGGACGGCTGTCATGAGCTTCAGAAATCCACCACTTGTGAGGGGCCTAGACTCCCATGGCTAGGGCTTTTTGTTCCGTTAGATGACCGGGATATTGTCAGGGAAGCTGGAAGCTAATCAGTGTCAGCTCTGTCGTCTTTTAGGAAAAGCCTCCCCGTGCTCTTGGTCCTATCACAAAGGCCAGCCAGGAAGAGATTAATCCCTCTTCCACATGACAGCCCTTTGTATATTTAAAGATAGTTCTGTTCCTTATAGATGTACCCCTCCAGTCTTTTCTCCAAGCAGTGGGTAGGGTGCTGGGCCTGGAGTCGGGAAGATTCATCTTCCCGAGTTCAAAACTGGCCTCGGACACTTAATAGCTGGGTGACCCTGGGCAAGTCACTTCACCCTGCCTCAGTTTCCTCATCTGTAAAATAAGCTGGAAAAGGAGGTGGCAAACCACTCCTGTATCTGCCAAGAAAACCCCAAATAGGGTCATGAAGAGTCCGACATCACTGAAACAACTGAACAAAAACAAAATATCCCCAATTACTCTAACTGATCTTCATTTGCCACAGTCAGTTCAACAAACATTTTTTGAACTCCTACTATGTGCCAAGCAGTCCTAGGCTGGTTCAAAGACAGAAAGGAAAGATGCTCCTCAAAGGAGCTTCCATTCTATCGGATAGATTCAACAAGCACCAAGCAGCGATGTGATCTCCTCTCTCTTTTAAGCCTGTTTGACCCGTGTGGAGAGGGTGGTCTGGAGAGGCTGGATCCAGCTATGACTCCTCTCGTCCTTGTCACTGAATACAGAGTTCATCTAGTTTAGCCCTTTCATTCAAATAGTGCTGGACTTGGAATTAGGATGACATTCCATTTCCCATCAGTTGTCTTTGCATTCATTGGCTGTGCCTCTGGCCTGGAATTCACTTCCTCCCTATCTCCATCAATGTGAATGCCAACTTTCTTTCAAAGTCCAGCTCAAACTCCACCTCCTACATGAAAAGCTCACACTGATCTCCACAGGTAGAAATACTCCCACCCTAAAATTAACCTGTATCAGCACTTTGAGGCCAGAAACTTCATTTTTTTTATTCCCTGGGCCTAGCCCCATGCCTGAAACATAACAGGTACTTAGTGAATACTGGTGGAGTGGTCGGTTAATTGGATTGCTAACAGGTTAAGTGGAGACAGTATTGGGCTTGGTGTTAAACAAAGATCTGGATTTTGGGACAGCTAGGTGGCGCAGTGGCCTTGGAGTCAGGAGGACTTGAGTTCAAATCCAGCCTGAGACACATAATGCTCACTAGTTCTGGGACCCTGGGCAAGTCACTTAACCTCATTACCTCATCAAAAAAGCAAAAAGACCTAAATTTAAATCTTGCCGCGGACACTAGCTGCCTGACCCTGGGCAAGTCACTTGCCTTTTGTCTCCCTCATTTTCTCCTCAGCAAAATGGAGATAATAATAATAGCATCTTCCTCAAAGGGGTGTTGTGAAGAGACATGTACACATAGATGATGAGGTTGACCCATAAACTGCCAGAGCCAGCTCAGTGTTTGGGAGGCTCTGAAGGAAAGCGTGGGAGAGAAGAGAGGTTTTAGATTGCCTACCAAATTGAAGGTCAGCAGAGCTGGTTGTGCTGACCTCATTGCTGCATGCCTGTGAAACTTGGACAACGTACCAGCACTATGCCAGCAAACTGAATTACTTCCATTTGAATTGTTTTAGGAAGATTCTGAAGACCACCTGGCCTGATAGGGTTCCAGACTCTGAGGTTCTCTCTCTACCTGAACTGCGAGGCACTCAGACTCTGCTGCAGAGACTGCAACTCTGATGGCCTAGCCAAGTAGTCCAAAGGCCAAACACATATTTACCTAAAAGACTATTTTACGCAGAACTCACACAAGGCAAGCACTCAAACAGAGGTCAGAAGAACTGATAGAAGGATACTCTCAAAGTCTCTCTGAAGAACTTTGAAATCGAGTGTGAGACATGAGGGACTGGCACAGGACCAGCCAGCAGGGCATGCCTGCATCAGAGAAGGCGTTGTGCTCTGTGAGCAAAACAGAATCGAAGTAGCTCAAAAGAAACAGGAGATGTGAAAATCTAGAGACAGCTCCATCCCAAGTTCTCAGACTTTGTGCCTGACCTGTGGCAGAGCCTTCTGAGCGCACATTGGTCTGATCAGCCATAGTCAGACCGACATAGTGATGTCATTTAGACCCTCTTCCAGCACAAGGAACGATAACCAAATTCTAAAGATCAAATGAGATAACATTTGTAAAGCACTTTATAAACCTTAAATAAGCACTATTTAAATGCCAGCTATTACTTTTGTTCAGATTCCATCTCTTATGTCATCTCTTTCTATTATCTGTTGTCTAATGTCATCTATTGTCTGTCATGCTCTATGACCAGGGGCAATTCTCTTAATCTCTCATCTTATATAATTATTATAATTATATAATTTTTATAATTTTATTATATAACATATAATTTTTTTTTCCAGTGATACCAGACCTGTGATTTCATTGGTTAGGGAAGGCACTCCCTCTACCAACCACAGATCAACTACAAATCTGAAATCTATAATCTTGGACAGCTGCATAGGATGCTGAAAGGTATAGCTATGAGTCCAAGGCAGGACTTGAACTCAGGCCTTCCTGATTTTGAGGCTGACTCCATTTCATTCACCATGTTTCTCAAGTTCAGTCATTTCAGTTGTGTACAACTTTTTGTGGCCCCATGTGGGGTTTTCTTGGCAAAGATATTGGAGTGGTTTGCCATCTCCTCCAAATCATTTTGCAGATGGGGAAACTGATCCAAACAGGGTGAAGTCACTTGTCCAGGGTCACACAGCCAGGTAAGTGTCGGAGGCCAGAAGACTATTTATGGGCCAAAGACCTCTGGTGCATCTCAACTACTAAGTGCTGATGGAGACACGTTGATTGGTGATAAGGACATGATCCTGAAGATGGGCTGAATACTTCCATAGCGTTCTCAATACACCATTATCAACCAGTGCTGAAGCCGATGACTATATACCTCAGGTTGAAGTCAATCCTTTTCTAGCTGAACTTCCAACTGAAGAAGAGGTCTTGAATACCATTAGGCTCCTCTCCTACAGCAAAGCACTTGATACTGATTCTATTCTAACTGAGATTTACAAGGAAGGAGGGGTGTCCACTGCTCATACAAAAGCTGACTGAAATCTTCCAGGTTATATGGCAAGAGGAGGTTATTCCCCAGGAGTCCAAAGATGCCTCCATTTTCTGTCGCTATAAAAGAAAAGGAAATAGATTGTCCTGTGACAATCATGGGGTTGGGGCCCTCTCTCTTACTCCTTGCTGGCAAGATTGTCCTTAATTGGCTGATCCTTCACCTGGAAGATGGTCATCTACCTGAGAGCCAGCATGGCTTCAGAAAGGGCCGAGGAACGGTACATACGGTCTTTGCCACTGACAACTCCAGGAGAAATGCCAGGAGCAGAACAGAGGTCTGTATACAACGTTCCATCGTTCCATTATTGACCTGACCAAGGCTTTCCATACTGCTCCGGACATAGTCGGAACTTACTGTTTACCGATGGATTGAGGAGCCATTGGCCCCCAGTTTGTGTCACGCCTGGTGCTAGGTGCTACGAATAGGATAGAAGTGAAATCGTTTCCCTCCTCAAGGAACTTACACTCAAAGCGAGAGACACACCAAAGGCACACGGAAGTAGACTCCAGACCCAAAACACATACAGCAGGAAATTTAAGAGGTCTCTCCTGCCCCTCTCCCTCCCGAGGAGAGACTGTTACGTGACAGAGATCGCTGGGCTCCATTGGTCGGTTCAATCAGCCAATGGCCCGCTCGGCTAGGGCCGGCCCCGCCCATTGGGGCTGGCGCCTGCGCGCTGCTGAGCCGGTTAGGCGCTGTGGGCTTCGGGGGAGGGGAGTGGGTCATGAATATTGATCGGGTGCGGACGTGCCAACGCCGCCTGCCCTCCCCCTGTCGGCTGCCTTGACGCGAGTGGCGGCTCGCGCGGAGGCTCGCGATGGGGAAGAAGTCGCGGGCGGTACCCGGCCGGAGGCCCATCCTGCAGCTCTCCCCGCCGGGACCTCGGAGCGGCGCCTCTGGGCGAGACGCGGAGCCCGAAGCCGAGGTTGAGGTGGACGCGGTGCTTTCCGCCCCGGCTCCTACCCCGACCCCGACCCCGACTCCGGCTCCAGCTCCGGCCCTGGCCCCGGTCCCGGCCCCGGCTCCGGCTCCGGCTCCGGCTCCGGCACCGGCACCGGCACCGGTCCCAACCCCGGCTCCGGCTCCGGCCTCGGCTTCGGCTCCGGCTCCGGCCCCGGCACCAGCGGCGACCCCGGCCCTGACCCTTGCCCCGACGGCGGTAGCGACGGCGGCCACCGTGGCGACCTCCCTGGAGGACTCGCCCTCGGAAGGTAAGGAAAGGCCGCGCGGAGCCTCGGCCCCGAGTAGGAGTCACGGCCCGCCTCGGGCGCGCTGCCAGCGGGAACACCCCAAACTCGAGCCCGGGGCTTGGGGCCTAGTCCGGCCCGGAGCTCCAGGGCTGGGCCTGGAGGGGTGGAGGGCGAAGGAGGAAGAAAAAGGAGTGTGGGGCCCGGGCGGGCCGGGAGAAGCCGCCGCAGCCTCCGCCCCGCGGCTGGCCTCGGGCCAGGGAGGAGCCTTCCCGAAGGACTCGCCGGATGACGCCGAGGCCGGGGCTGCCATCTCGGCGCGGCCTCTCGCCGGGAGCCCTGCGGCTGCGTGAGCACGGACCAACAGCCAGCTGCCCCCGACCGCCCCGGAGCGGGGCCGGAGCGAGGGACGTGACTGGGCCAAGGTCACCCCCGCGGCTTCCGAGCCGGGGTTGTTTTACTGAGCATGGTAGCGACGCTGTAGCGCCTGCGGCTGCCCCAGCCGGGAGAGCACCACGATTGTCGCCTTAAGAGTTCTGGGGTTTGGGGTTTGTTTTTGTTTGGTCCTTGCTTCCCCCAGCACCTTGCCTAGCGCATGGCCCATGGGGAAGGGTTTAGTAAAATGCTCGTTGAAGTGAATCCAGCAAAAGCCTGATTGGTAACAGTGTCAAAAATATAACATTCCTGGAGGAGTGGAATTTATTTCCAGATATGGGTCATCAGCATCTCTGTCCCACCCCCTTAGAAGTTATTAGATGACTAATGAGTTTTGTTACTGGGAAACACTCCCATGCTACTTAGAAAACATTATTATAAAAAAGAATGTGGATTTAGGGCCGGAAGAGACTTTAGAAGTCATTTAGTCTCACCCACCCATTTTATGGGCGAGGAAACTGAGGCCCTTCAGAGAAGTTGAGTGGCTTGTAATAGAGCAGAGATTCAAACTGGGTTCCTGTGATTCTAGATTTGGTGTGTATGATTCTGAAAAATGGAAATGCTGTATTTTATTGCTTTTCAGATGAAATAGCCCTTGTGATTGAGAGTTATTGTTAAAGAATTAATTAAATTTTTAGGTTTTGAATGTGATAATCTTTAAATGAGAAGCTACTTGGCCTGTAGGGGAGAAGGGTAAAGAGTTGATCAGAAAATTCTGGATTCAAGTCTTGCCTGTTGACATATACTAGTTGTGTGACCAGGCAGTCTCTTAATCTGTCACTGCTCCAGGCCACTCCTTAATACTATAAATTATGGCCGATTTGAGATCTGCATCTGGGGAGGAATTGTGCCATTCTAGGGCTTCCAAACAATGAGGAGATAACAAGTTTGGATTTAAAAAATTGCAATACTTTTTTATTTGTGTTTGGAAATTCCTAAGTTGTATGATGAGTGTAAGGAGCTCTGTTCTTTCCAGAAATTGTGCTGGGACTGTGGGTGTGGAACATGCCATATTCTGTCAGACTTTGTTGATAACTCCTTTGTTTTCCTCTTTTAGTTTTAGCAAGGGATGGCTTGCTGGGTAGGAGAGAGAAGAGGGATACCTTCAGAAATGAAGGTGATGTCAAAACAATTACTATCAAAATTTAAAACAATTTTTAAAAGTAAGGAACTAATTCTTATGCCCTAAGTCATGTTATTTGAGTCTTTTGTTTGGTTTGGGTCAGAATTTTTAGATGCTATCATTTGTAGTCTAAGTTTTCTTTACTGTTCTTTCAGATGAGCAGGAAGTTGTTCCAGAAGCTCCTAAAGTTATTGTTCAGAATCCCCCCAAACCAGTCATGCCAACGAGACCTACCAACGTTAAAGCAACAGGTATGGATTTGGCTGTTTGGATTTTGACTTTCTATCTTTCTAGAATAATTAGAATTAACTAGTACGTTTTGATTAATTATAGTTGTCTCACTGATATTATTCTACTTATAAAACAAAAATTCAAAAAATCTTTGCTTTCTTTCTGACTTGCCACTGGCTTGTACAGCTCACCCAGTTTGAGGCAAATTTAATGTTGAGAAGACCTCCCCAAATAATTAAATACTTTATTTGATTTGATAATTATTTAAAATTCAAATAATTGGAAAAACTAAAATTTAGCTGCCAGAAAACATGGTAGTGCTATCTAAATATATTTTGGGAAATTATGCTTACAAATCTCAATTTTTCTTATACTGTTAATGAGCCGGAAAATTTTAATTCCAGTCCCACAAAATTGAAGCATATACTGTAATTAGTCTAGGGATAAGATTTTACCCTGAAGCAGAGGAATAGTGTTGAAATATAATGAGATGTTCAAACCTGTTTTATTTATTTACTAGATTTCATCCACTACTAAAAGAGTTTTACAGAGCTTGTGTATTAAAACAGGGTATCTGGAAGAAAATGAACTCTCAAAATACCACTTTGAGAAAAACATAGTAGAATGGTCATTGGAGTAGGTTCATAGCAGTATCACATATCGTGAAGATTGGTTCGCTCAGCAGGTGCTTACTGAACACAGGCTGTACTCTGTGCAGGGTGGGTGAGTTCTGTGTTTAATGCTGTAGGGAAAATCCATAGGAGCCTCAGGCCTGATCCCTGTCCTGAAAGGATCGATAATGAGGCAAGGCGTGTGCCAAATTGGCCTAAACATTATTGATCATTAAACTGAGACTAAGATAAGAATTGACAGCTCAGGCTTTCTGTGGAAATTGGTCTAACCCATTCCTAGAAAAGGCAGCAGGAAGAGTTGTAATCTGGAGTCCTGCTACCACCCTTATTATTGCTGACGTTCACCTACGCTGTCTCATTTCATCCTCACAGCCTACGTGTAAGTAGGTGCTGCAGATATCCCCGTTTTATATGAGGGTGACGAAACTGATGGTCATAGAGCTCAAATGACCCGCTCGCTAAATGTCAGGTGGATTTTGTCCCCAGGTCTCTTAGGACCCCAAGCCGCTGGCTTATTCTAGCCCAGTCCAGCGCTTGGCCGTTTCTTGCCTGAACTGTTGCAGTTGTCTCTTAAGTAATCTCATTCCCTCCAGCTTCGCACTCCGATCCTTTGGATGGACCACAGCTGAATTAAGGTCTTTAGATATTGTTCCTGGGTACCGCAAGCATAACGTCCCCCATTCCTTAGTCTGTCTGCAGCCTCCCCCTCCAAGCTTAACTCCCATTCTTTAACTTACACATTTATTGGGTTTGGTTTGGTTTTGGTTTTAGGCAGTTGGGGTTAAGTGACTTACCCAGGGTCACACAGCTAGTAAGTGTCAAGTGTTTAGTCTGAGGTTGGATTTGAACTCAGGTCCTCCTGACTTCAGGGCCGGTGCTCTATCCACTGCGCCACCTAGCTACCGCCACATTTGTTGTTATAACCAAGTTTGAGTCTGCTGTTCACATCATGACTTTCCTTTATTTGCTTTGCCCAGAATGAGCCCTTTCTTCTATGCTTCTCTGAGTCCTGCCTGTTCTTCAGAGTCCCTGAAGGGCTCCTTGATCCAGTGGCCCAGAGTGCTCTTCTCCTCACTCAGTGGCCATGTAACCACATTTAGTAGCTTTTTCTGTGTGTTCTGTCCCCTTTTTGTATATATGCTCATAGATCACACAGTGGACAAGTAACATTTGATTAGGCAGACAGTCTCACACAGTGCAGATCTGCAAGGGAAAGGTGGTATTCGCAGGCCAGGACTAGAACTGGGGCATTTAGTTGAAATCAGCATCCTGCTTCTCCCTCAAACTGTCTGGTAATGGAGAGGCGGTGGGGGGATCATAGTAGAGGCTGACCTGGAAGGCAGGTTGTGAGTTACACCTTATACTTCTGACAGGTACTAGCTGTGTGACAGGGGGCTCAGCAGTTTCTCAGTTGGCAACAGCAACTTTCAAACAAAATTGCATGGTGGGTTGTGGAGAGGGAGAGTTTCATATTCTAATGAACTTAGGTCTGGACCTCCCAAAATAAAGCATTAGTCCGTAATATTGAAGCAATACAGAAACATTAAAGTTTAAATGAGTGTTTTCATTTGAGAGTTATAGGAGTTGATTTCTCTAGGGAAAAAAATAGCTGCTTACTCATCTATTTTAGGTGATCGTGGCATTCTCTTAAAAGATTTTTTTTTCATTAATCCATAAGTAAAAGCATATATATTTTTAGCATTAACTCTGTGCTATGCCCATCCTCTCTCCTTTCTTCCCTTCCCTCTTTGCGCTCTCTCAGAATCAGAGCACATATAGCCATTTAGAATCTGGACCCACTGTCTAGATTCTAGTATAGATTTTTCAGTTTAATTTAGATATAATAGATTGTAAAAATAGTTTACTTATCAGCTCTCATTAGATATACTTAAAAATTGTTCTTTACTAGTTATTTTTATACTCTTAATGACTTACTCATTAATGCCTTTTGTTTGAAATTGTATCTAATTAAATATTCGTTTAAGTATTTTTTTTAAGTCTTAATTATGTAGGAGGATTTTATCTCTAAGATCCAGAAAATTTAAAGGAGTTAGATTTTTAATTGCACTTTAACAAAGTCCTTAGAAACAGCAAGCAGCAATCAAAAAAGTTAGTGAATGAAAACTGAAAGCTGACAGAAATTGCAATCCTCTATTTAAAATGTCAGCCTTGCAGGGCTTTTCTGAAGAAGGTACTTCATAAGCTTTAAAACACTTTTGGAGATATGAATTGTTCTTGCTAGTAAAATGAATGCTAACTTGACATAGTGGAAAGCAACCTAAGAAAAAAATAAAAATTTTGAAAATTATGCCACTGGTAGATAGCATGAGTTGCAGGAGCTCTGAGCTGAGATAGGACTAAAGCCTATTTGTGCACACACTGAGCCCTGCTCCCTAGGCTGTTCAAGGAGGATGACCCAGCCCATGTAGGAAATGGAGCAAGGGAAGCTCTGTGCCTGCCATTGCTGGAGGTGGGCTGTGAGAGGCTGCTGTAATTCCAGCATGTGTGACTCGGGCTCAAAACAGAATGATAACTGCCCCTTGGAGAAACATACATGCTGAGGGAAAAAAAAAAGTAGGGCTACGTTTCCAACACAGTGTCTGGAACTATTGACATAAGTTTGCTAAAGCATTTGCAGAATTGAATGTGAGTACTGCAAAGATGGGATCCAGGAACAAGGTTTGGCTCTTCAGACGTAGAAAACTACAATCAACTTGACAGATTAAAGAATGCTTTTTTAAGTATCCTAATTGTGACAGACATAAATAAGGAGGCAATAAGTGGCACAGAAGAACCTGATTAACTTGAATTGAGGGAGTTATATTAATGGTTACTACCATTAGCCAGTTCCAAGTATTATTTCACTTCCTAATGCTTGGTTACTCAAGCAGTAAATATTTGGAAAGGATGACCCTATGTTTTATGTGCTTGAAAGCCTAGGATAAAAATATTTTGCCTGGTTGTTACATTGTATCCAGTGATCAGTTACAGTCTCTGTTATTTCTTTTTAGCAATATTGGCATATTACTCATAGTCCCCAAACTACAGAAACTGTAGCACAGCTGAGTGCCGTTAGCATGGTTTTTTTGTGTCTGTGGCTAATTTCAAGAGGTCCTGAAACAGATGTTGACTGCTCTGGCTCAGTAATTAGAAAACTTATTTTTGGAGAAAATATTCATTCATTATCTGCTGAGTGACAATGTGAAGTTCAGCTTTTGGGCTAAAAGTTTACAAAATAGAGCATAGCAGTTATCATATAATCATACATGAGACATCTTTCCTAAAATGTTCTGGTTTATTCTTGTTAATTTGGTTTCTTTTTTGTCTGGTGACCAGGAGGCTTGTGTTTGCTTGGTGCCTATGCAGACAGTGATGATGATGAGGGTGATACGCCTGAAAAACCAGCCTTGCCCAAGGAGGCGAATGGAAGCCAGTCCACCGACATTGACAGCACACTGGCCAACTTCCTAGCGGTTAGTAATAGTTCAGTTTTAGTGGCAATAGCCACTAAAATAGTTTATTCTCAAAACAAATTATTAAGCACGTAATTCTGTAAAAAAAATTTCCTAAGATTTTTAAGATTTGGTCGTTGTATTTCTTGGGAAAGAGGTTAGGGACTTGATTGAATACAATTGAATTTTTTTTTAATGGTTACTATATTTTCTCCATTTTTATTGATTTTAAATCTAATGCATTTGTCATTACTTCCTTTTAAAGGAGATTGATGCCATAACAGCCCCCCAGCCTGTGTCTGCTGCTAGCACTTCTGCCCCTCCTCCAACTCCGCCTCGACCTGAGCCCAAGGAGTCTGGAACGGCGTCCGTCTCCTCTTCATCTGCAAATGGAACCGACTCAGGCCACGCCACAGGGTGGCAGTATGACACCCAGTGCTCCTTGGCAGGAGGTGAGCTTGGTTCCCTAGTGTCTTTGAAGTCATCTTATAGCCTGCAGAGGGGGCACAGGGAAGATAGAAGTTATAGTGCACTGCTCGTTTTTTTCATAATCAAGTTAATTATAAATGAATGTAAATGCTTTTAGTTGGTAGCACTGAAGATAAAAGATGTCATTATTTGCTACCAACCTTTAAGATTGTGGGCTTTGAAATATTTTTGGAAGTTGGGTGCTTGGAATGTTTGTTGTGTAAAGATGGCTATTTACCATTGAGATCTGCCCTAATAGATGCCTATGTGCCGTCTCATTAGGACCAGTAAGTATCTCTGCTAGGTGAGTAATCAGGCGTTACCTTTAACTATATGCCCTGGAGGTCAAAGAGACACGTGGCTGAACTAGTGAAGTTCCCTTTTTCTTGTTCTCTCTTTAAGCCGCACTTGCTGTTATAGGGTTGGTTCTTCAGGAGACACTGCAGAGGAGGGCAGCTTGTTGTTGGAAGTCTGGTTTGGGAGCTGAGCGGTTGTGAGGCTAATCACAGAATTGTGGGAAGCGCTCCGTCTTGACGAAAATCTGCTTGTTTTCTTCTAGTGGGGATTGAGATGGGAGACTGGCAAGAAGTCTGGGATGAGAACACAGGCTGCTATTACTATTGGAACACACAGACAAATGAAGTGACGTGGGAACTCCCACAGTACCTGGCTACCCAGGTGCAGGGGATACAGCATTACCAGCAGAGGTGAGAATGATCTTTGGAATGTTTATCCCCCCCAATTAGAAATTCATTATAGAGTCACAAGATTCTCTCCTTGTCTGTATAGCTTCTTCTCTATGCTGCTAGCTAAGAATATTCCTTTTTAGTTCTGTAGCAGGTGCTGAGACAAGTTTCCTGGTGCCAGCAGATATATATTCCAAAGAAAAGGCTCTTTCTGTTACCACTAATAAGAGTGGGCCACTCTTGGTTAAGCGAGAAGTTAAAAAGGTCAGTGCCGGCAGCTTAGGTAATTTATTCACATTAATCATATGATTGAAATGTTAGGTTTTTTTATACGTGTGATATTGGTTCTAATTTTGGATTGTTAACTCATTCTTACGTCTGAATCTTTTGTTAGGATCCTCCGTGACCAGTTTCTCCTCCCAAATTTCTATTGAAATCATTCAAAGTATTTTTGTCTTCCTCTGGACACTAAAAGTTCATGCTCGTGTACCCCTTTTGTATTGAGATTTTTTTTACTATTCAATTTGTTTTATTGGATTAGGTTTCTTGTTGCTATTGGCATGTAATAGAATTTGACATCTTATGTTATTGCCATGTGTGCTAGAGACTGTGTTTGGGAGACAGTATACTTTGAATTGACTTAATTTTTTAAGCATCCATTGTTGATGAGCTTGAATCTAGTGAAGCTGGTTTTAAACAATAGACTCTGTCTGCTGATAAAATTTGTCTGTCCAAATTTGTACTCTGTTTGGTATGACCTCTGAGAATACCAGGTTACCTACACACTAGTGGCATTGAAATGAGGTAGTACTTCAAGGATAATGCATTGTTAGCAACCAGGTTGGTGTGGTACATTTCATTTTTTAAATCATTCTTCATGTTTGGGCCTCATGACAACTCCGTGGTGCAGTTAGGACAGTTAGTCTTCATTTGACAAATAAATTGAGCCACCTTTTCCCAGGGAAGGGGAGAACACATCACTTTAAATGGCCTTCGCAGCATCCCTGTGAGGTGCTCAGTTTACAGAAATGGATTTGGACTCAGGGCTTGTCTAAAGTTACTTGCTGAATTAATAGAACATGGACGTAAGATGCTTTGATCTTTTTTCCCCCAGACGAGAGTGCCTTCTCCCAGTTTTGCTTATTATAGTCGGAGTAAAGGTGATCTCGAGAAGGAGCACAAGTTCACAGACTATTTGTTCCCAGTAGTGATACTTGAGGTGAACAAAGGCTATGTAAGGGTCCTCTTCGGATGGGACCCCGACCACAAAGGTCTACATTTATGGACATTGTTTGGGTGGCTGAAAGAGGGCCGACACCATTTATCCCAACTCACATTTTTTGGGCTTCTTGGCTCTAAAAGCAGACGTGTATCAAAGAGGTGAAACGGTCACTGAGAATGTTTCCCATACCATTACAGGAGGTGAACGAGGGGATCCAAGCCCTTTCAAACAGTGAAGAGGAGAAGAAAGGGGTGGCGGCTGCTCTGCTGGCCCCTTTGTTGCCTGAGGGTGTAAAAGAGGAAGAGGAAAGATGGAGGAGAAAAGTGATTTGTCAAGAAGTCGATCCAATGGCAGAGGTAAAGGAGATGGTGACGGCAGAGGAATTGCCAGGGACAAGAAGAACCCAAGAAACTATGGGAGAAAACGTGGACGCCAACTCCCCAGAGGATCTGTGTAGTGTTGTGCAGTCCGGAGAGAGTGAGGAGGAAGAAAGAACAAGACACCCTTGAACTGGAGCTTGTATTGGAAAGAAAAAAGGTAAATGGGGGAGCTCTGACATGAAGGGCACAAGTCGCTTTATGGGACATGTATGCACACATGACAGCATCAGTGGACTGATGAGGCCACTTCATAGTTTCTGACAACAGTAACTTTAGGAGAATTTGGTCTACTACCCCCCAAATTTGTTTAACTTTGGTACTACATTTAAAATTGTCACTACTTTCAGGGTTATTTCTTTGTGGAGTGGGGCTTAAACTCAGCATGTCTAAAATGGAATTCAGTACCTCTTCCACCCAAATCCTTCCCAGTTACCACAGAGGGCAACGCCACCCTCCCAGTCTTCCAGGCTCACAAACAAGGGCTCATGCCTTACTCTGTCTCACACACACCCCCAACCAGTCTGTTGCCAAGGCCTGTCAATTTTACCTTCGCAACATCACTCATATAGGATTCCCCCCCACCCCTTCTCCTTCTGCTACCACCCTGGTGGAGGCCCTTATCTATTATCTTCTCACGGGACTATTCTAATAGCCTGCTAGTGGATTTCCCTACTTCACTCTATCCTCCACTCAGCTGTCATATTGATCTTCCTAAAGCACAAGTTAGACCTTGTCATTCATGCACACACACTTTGTCTCCTTCCTTCTGATACAGCGTCTTTCCTGCTCTCCTCCTCCAGTGACTTCCTATCACATCCAGGATCAACTATAACATCCTGTTGGGTGTTCAGACCCCTTCATAACTTCCCCTGGCTTTCCATTCTTTTTAGACCTGACACCTTCTCCTCCTGCCCCTTGCCCCCCCTTCTCCCCAGGTCTAGTTATGATGACTACTTATTTGGTTGATCTCAAACAAGTCATTCCATCATCCCACTCTGAGCATTTTCTCTGGCTGTCCCCCATGTCTGGAAGGCTCTCCCTCTTTATTTCTGCCTCCTGGCTTCCTTCAAGTCCCAGCTAAAATCTCTGTTCCTACAGGAAGCCTTTCCCAGTTCCCCTCCTCACCACAGCCTTAATACAGCTGCCTTCCCTCTGTGGATCGTCTCCAGTTTATCCCATTACTAATCTGTTTATATGTAGTTGTTTATGTGTTGTCTCCTATGTTGTGCTGTGCACTCCTTAAGAACAGAGACTGTCTTGCCCTTCCTTGTATCCACCATGTTTAGCACAGTGCCTAGCACACAGTAGGCATTTAGTAACTTTGGCTTGTTGGCAGAGATAAGAGAGCTAGCCTTAGAGTCGGGAAAATCTGGGTCCTGATGCTTCTGACCCTACTAGCTCTGTAGTTCTTGGTAAATCATTTACCCTCTTAGTGCCTCAGGGAATTATCAAAGACGTGGACTCTTAATTTTTGTTGTATTTCTGTTGGACCCTTTTGACAGTCTAGTGAAGCTCCAAACCCCTTCTCCGAATGATGTGTTTTAAATGCATTAAATAAAATATTTAGGATTGAAAGTCCACAGACTCTTTAGCTTGAGAATCCCTAGAATTAAGACTGTAAGCTGCAAAAGAGTTGCTTATTTGCATTTGGTCAAAAAAGTTTCCTTATTCCCCAAACCACCGCCACCTCCCTCCCCCCAAAAGAAAGGCCAGAGTAGAGATTTAGTACATGGGACTTAGGTTTTTAATTTGAACTTAAGTTCCCTGGTGCCATTTCTGCCTGCTAGAGCCAGCAGAAGTCACGGGTGTGTGGGGCAGATCCTCCTTCTTCAAGGAGAGTTAAGCGAGTATCAGAGGACCCATAATTGAGAATTTCTCCTATAGTGATAGAGCTTTAGAAGGAAAGGCAGCTGTATAAACCATTTTGTGCGAGGAACAGATTCTGAAGAGCTTTTCTATTCTGAGATCTTTAGGTACTATCCTTGAACATAGGTAGAATGATCTCTGTTTTTCTAAACATTAACTGCGGAATCATCATCAACAAATAATCTGATTATCTGTTGTATGTGGCATATTAATACTAGGTTTTAGAACTACAAAGAAAGTTAGGAGATGTATTCTTCTGCATTTAAAGAGCATACACTATATTCTGGTCACTTATTCCAATTCTCAAAATGAATAGTTGATGTAACTTTATTGTTGGGTTTTTTCTAGGCAGAACTACGGGCATTGGAGGAAGGAGATGGTAGTGTGTCAGGGTCTAGTCCACGGTCTGATATCAGTCAATCAGCATCTCAAGATGGAATGCGTAGACTTATGTCAAAAAGAGGGAAATGGAAGATGTTTATCCGAGCTACCAGTCCAGAATCTACTAGCCGGAGTTCTAGCAAAACTGGCCGTGATACCCCAGAAAATGGCGAAATTGGTAATTCAAGGATTTTTGTAGCATTTTGAAAGGAACCTTTTAGGTTATTACTTTCCTCTAGTGATAGTATAAAGTACAATTTTGTTTATCCCGTCCTTAATATTGACAGATTATAGTATCTTCATCAATTATAAATTAATCGATGGGACATTTTGAATAAAGATCCATCCCCTTTTATAGAGAACACATAAAAAAAGCAGAAGTGGACATAATAGCAAACAATAAAAAGTTGTCATGAAAAGCATTAGGCTAGTGGTAATAGGATATTTGGAAGCAGAAATGGAGGTATATTGAAAGAAAAATGTCATTACGTGGATCTGCAGTAAAGCAGTTAGTAAAAATTTCCAGGTGCTGTTGGTTCTTTGTTCAGAAGAAGTCTGTGGAAGTCCTCTGGGAGGATTTCATTGTTTCCTAAAACATCTAAGCTGTATTGACAGCTGTAGAAGCTGCGGTAGTAGAACTGAAGTGAATAGCTTGAAAAGTAAAGCCAAAGTAAGAGGAACTGGAACCAAGGTGTTGGGTGGACTGGGCCTAGAGTTGACATGCGCCATTTTCCATTCCCCACCAGAGAGTTCCAGTGCTGGTGGATGCTGACATCAGAGAACTTCTGAATAAGGTTATGGCAAGGAGTATGCATTATAAAGAAGTCACTGAAAATGCCCAGAGCTCATCTCTGTGGCACAACTCTTGTCCATGCCATGTTTCAGGTACTGGCATATGAGTTGCATAGAATCAGCAGAACAGTTTGAAAGGAACGCTTTGGGAAAGAATTCCTAGTGGATCATTCACGGAAGTATTAACAGTAAAAATCAAGAACCTGCATTTATTAAGTGCCTGCTGTGTCCAAAGAACTGCTGGGCACTGGGGATGTGAAGACAGCAAAAGGGTGGGGTTATTCTCTTTGAGAAGTTTTATGTTTTATCATACATTTTCTAAGAAAGATGAAACAAAGCAACAAGGAACCAAAAGAAATCTATCACTCTGATCGCAAGCATAAAATCAATGAAGAAATAGTTGAGGTGGGCGTTTCCCAGTCCTTTGCTGCCCATGACCAGACAGTAGCCTAAAGGGAAGAAAAGGGCTCATGAAGACTAGGGTTTTGGTCAGCAAGGTGAACGTGTTTTTCTTTTCCAGCGATGAGCACTGAAAATTCAGAGAAAATAGATGAGCATTCTGACAAAGAGCCAGAGGCAGAAGAATGTCCAGAAAAACTAAAGTCACAAATGGGGCCAAAGCTGGATGAAGAACAGGATTTGAAAGTATGTGTGTTAATTCATGCAGCCTTGCAGATGAAGATTTGAAATTTGACTAACCCAGTTTATTTTTTTTAATCAGCCTTTTGCAACTAGGAAGACTGCAATTTAGCACAATGAACGGTTTTTACTATCTGCAAAGCATAAATTGTCATTCACAAAAGATATGAGTTAGTGGGTTATTTTCACAAGCGGGGGTTATGGTTAAGAAATTCCTAGGTACCTTACCTGTAACACACACAGGGTAAAAGTAAAAGGCTGGAGCAGAATATATTATGGTTCAGCTGAAGTGAAAAAAGCAGGGGTAGCAATCCTGATCTTAGACAAAGCAAAAGCAAAAATAGATCTTATCAAAGAGATAAAGAAGGAAACTGCATCCTGTTAAAAGGCATCATAGACAATGAAGTAATATCATTACTAAATATATATGCACCAAATGGTATAGCATCCAAATTTTAGAGGAGAAGTTCAGGGCATTACAGGAAGAAATAGACAGCAAAACTATACTAGTGGGGGATCTCAGCTTCCCTCTCTCTGAATTAGATAAATCTAACCACAAAATAAACAAGAAAGAAGTTAAGGAGGTAAATAGAACATTAGAAAAGTTAGGTATGATAGACCTCTGGAGAAAACTGAATGGGGATAGAAAGGAATATACTTTTTTCTCGGCGGTACATGGCACATACACAAAAATTGACCATGTACTAGGGCATAAAAACCTCACAATCCAGTGCAGAAAGGCAGAACTATTAAATGCATCCTTTTCAGATCATGATGCAGCAAAAATTATATGTAACAAAGGGCCATGGAAAGATAGACTAAAAACTAAGTGGAAACTAAATAATCCTAAATAATGATTGGGTCAAACAACAAATCATAGAAACAATCAATAATTTCATTCAAGAGAATGACAATAATGAGACAACATACCAAAACTTATGGGATGCAGCAAAAGCAGTTCTTAGGGGAAGTTTTATATCTCTAAATGCTTACATAAATAAAATAGAAAAAGAAGAGATCAATGAATTGGGCATACAACTAAAAAACTAGAAAAAGAACAAATTAAACACCAAATTAGAAATACTGAAAACCAAAGGAAAAATTAATAAACTTGAAATTTAAGAAAACTATTGAACTAACTAATAGAACTCAGAGCTGGTTTTTATGAAAAAAACAATAAAATACATTAGCTGTATAGAAGTTCTTTTCCACGTAGATTTATGCAAGCAAGTACAGTAACTGTAAGGCCAGCAGTAGCGACTAGTACTGTGTAGGAGTTATTTTTTTCTCCAGTTAATACTATTAATGTATTTTCCTATTATAATTTAATTACCAAAAATCTTTTTTGGATTGGAATAGAACTGGCCTGGGTGGGAAGGAATAACTTATTTATTCATTGTGTAGAGAGCAGTTTGGTACTACCTGAACACCATTTGGTTTACATCAGTGGTGTCAAACTCAACTAGAAATGGTCCGAAAACCACAAACAAACATTATCACTGTATTATATTTTTACTTATTTAGTTAAACTTTTCAATTACATTTTAATCTGACTAGGCTGCATATTTGACTCTTCTGGTGTAAATGTGTTTTTCCCAAAATTTCACTTGTGTAAAAACTGTATTTAAAAAAAAAAAGAAAGTATACCTATATATTTTTTCAAAGAGACTTCATTGGAAAAGTGCTGCCTGTTTTCAGGCCAGTGAGTTACCTGCCTTGGAGTAGAAAAGGCTTGGGTCACACTTTGGCCCTGCCCACCAGTATGACTTTGGCCATGTTACTTTCTTCCGGATAATAATCTGTGGGCCATATTTCCTTGCAAGTGACTCTTTGCATGCAATTTTAAAGTTGCATAAACACTGGACCATTAGGGTGAAGGGGTAACTGACAGAATGAATTTGTTTAGAGCGTTATTCTAACAGCATAGTCGCAAATGCAATCCTTGTTTGGACTAGGAAAAATAAATCTGATTCTCTGGCTGCAGCCGGCTGGTAACATACTTTATCCTGACTACCATCCTACAAGCCCCACCAGCAGAAGAACATCTCCGCCAATCGCTTGTTTTATTTTTACCTGAAAGGGCTGGAGCAAAGTAGAGCCTGGACAGTGAGAGAGTCTGGCTCCTGTGCGAGGCTTCCATGTATGTGTCTGTCCGCTTAAAAGGCCTCTTCAGAAATAGGTAGTCAGGGTTACAAATGTCCTACAATGTGCAGTTCTGAGTCTTTAGGTCAGATGAGTTATTTTAAATCGTGTTTGAAATGTATTCTGATGTTATGTCCTAGCATCTAGTTGGCTTTGACAGACTGTGGTTGTGATTTGCATGATCGTGTGTACTGTTTTCATTGTGTGTAGATATTTCACTGCCAAAAAGAATGTCAGGAATCTTCATTCTCAAGGACTATTTTTTAGTGTCCACCCCAAACCTAGCTCTGCATTTATGACTGTGAGGCAGAGAGACTGCCTAGGGAAGAAAATTGTCCAGATGCATATTTGGATGTCTCTGTCAGTCAGTGGAGAGAGAGTTCATAGGAGCTGCTGTTGACTTCTTGCATTCTTTTTCTTTTTTTCTCCTTTGCGGAACAGTTTCAGATTGGAGAACTGGCAAATACCCTGACCAGTAAACTGGAATTCCTAGGAATTAGCAGACAATCCATCTCCAATTTTCATGTGCTACTCTTACAGACTGAGGTAGGTTCAACTGTCAGCCAATTTTGTACATACCATCAGTTCTCTGTGTGATTATCTGTTTGGTAGACTGTATTAGATTTTTAATTCAAGAGTGATTTTTTCCTCTCTAAATACATCTCTGACCTGCCAATTCAGGAAACACAAGTAAAGCAAAAACATAATTTTGATGGTAGCTGGATGGCATAGCAGATACGGTGCTGGACTTAGGAAAACTTGAGTTCAAAGCCTTTGTAGCTGTGTGATCCCGGGCGAGTCACTTCGCCTCTCTCTCTGCCTCAGTTTCCTCATCTGTAAAATGGCATCATAATTGTAACTATGCCAGGGTTATTGTGAGGTTGAAATGAAATAATGTCTGTAACATGCTTTCCAGACCTTAAAAATGTTGGCCGTTGTTATTACCACATGTAATAAAGCACCTCACGAGTCCTGAAGTGCTCTATGTAAGTCCAGAACATTGTTCCATAGCTGTATGAAAGCACTTCTGACAGCCAGCACACCAGTGCTTGTGGAGCCGTCCCAGTAACAGACAGACAAGTAGGGGTCCGCACACGCCCTGCCCCTTTTGTGACACAAACGTTTCACTTGTCCGACACAACTGAAGAAATCGTTCCACTAGGAATTGAAGAAACCTGTGACCCTGGCCAGTAGTTCAGCAAACTTAACCAACCAACAACAAACAGGCCTATGTGTAGAAAATGAAGTTGTGTTATGTTTTTAAAACCAAAACTGAGTACCTTAGCTTGCTTCTCCATTTTCACAAATAATAAATGGATAGGTGATATATGAAGTTGTCAAAGTAAGACTACATAAGAATAGACTAGAGCCCCATGTTACATGAATCACCCTTAGAGTGCAAGAGGTCATTGATTGATCAAGCTGACCTCTGTGGTAATGCGGCATAGACAAGAGAATGCTGGCTGGGGTGTCACAGAGACCTGGGTTCGAGTTCTCCGTTTGACTCACATTAGCTCCGTGCTTGAGCAGGTCACCTAACCAACCTTTCAGTGCCCCAACAACCCTCTCAGAATATCAGTTTAAGGTGAGTTGGTGATGTGCATCGGTGGAAGGGGTCTGCATCCTGATGACTTCCCTGCACTGATGAAAATTGGGATTCAGATCCTAGTAACACCTTCCCACCCATGAACCACAAGATCTCAATCATACTCTTAACAGGAGCAAGTCAATACATGTTATTATCACTGTTCCCTGCTAGTGTGCCGCAGCTTTGGGCCTGTGACTCTCCCTCCTGGCCAGAGAGGAGAGCCACCGCCCAGTTGGCTGTCGCCTCTCAGAATGCAATTCCATGAAGCCAGCCAACTTACTCCTTAGAACAATGAATTGAATTGAATTTGTTTGTTGCTAGACGCGGATTGCAGACTGGCGAGAAGGAGCTCTCAATGGAAACTACCTCAAACGAAAACTACAGGATGCAGCAGAACAACTAAAACAGTATGAAATAAACGCCACTCCTAAAGGCTGGTCCTGCCACTGGGACAGGTACGCACTCTTCTCCCCTTTTCACCTTTCACCTTTGACATCTCAGACATGATTTGTGATCATCACCACCTGACGACGTGACGTCCTCTTGGAGACTTCGAGCGGCTTCGGTTAGCAGTGCTGGGCAGGCAGAGCACCACCAGCACTTACAGAGTTTGGGCCAGCCACAAATTGGAGAAACAAAAAGCAAATGTTTAAAGTGTTCCATGTAACGGATTTTTTCCCAAGATTGGACCAAGCTGGTTTTTACTCTCCAGAGTGTAATTTCACGGAGTAGGGCGGGCTTGGGGGTTAAGCGCATGCGAGAGCTCTGTGCGCTTTACAGGACCTCTGGAAGCAACTACTCCTGATTAACCTCGGTGAAGTTAAGGAAAGCTTCGTGGCGGAAGATGTGAATGAAGAGCAAGATTACTATCTTCTGCCAGCAGGTCAGACGAAAATATTTCTTTTTATATTTGGCTTTTCTTGATTTTTTTTTTCGTTATTTGAAATCTTTGCTCTTTTATTTTTCAGCTCCCAGATCCTCTCCCTCTCTTTAGCTTTCACTGTGTTTGATATCAAGAGTATGAAATGTGAATTCCACGGTCCAAGAGGGAAAGAGCCATCTTTCACAAACTCCGCTGTTCTCTTCTTTGGAAGGGAAATTAGGGTTCTAGGCGATTGAGTCCCTTCATTAATGAAACTTGAAACCCTGTTAAGCATTGGCAAAAAATGAGATGTTTTGCAAGCCCGTCATCTGTTGGAGTTGGAGGGCTCAGGGCTGTATTCACAGAGCTGCTGGCAGTGCAAATAGCTTTGAATCATCCTTGGCTCTCCTTCCTCAATTCTCAAAGCTGTTTGTTGCCTTTGTGAATAGCAGTTCATTAAGAAGAGGTTCTTCCCTGTGAGAGCAGACTGCTGTCCTGGGACAGGACCAAGTGGAAGTGTCACTACAGGAGACTAGGTCTTAAAACATGTGTTTTCTTTCTTGTGATTTAGGGATCATAGACGTTATTTCTATGTAAACGAACACTCGGGCGAGTCTCAGTGGGAGTTCCCAGATGGTGAAGAAGAAGAAGAAGGAGAAGGGCAAGCCCAGGAAAATAGAGCAGAGACTCTTCATAAACAAATCTTGAAAGAGAAAAGTGCTGCTGATGCAAACTCTGGGGAATCCACTGAGAATTCCACAGGTAAAAGTGGCAGTTTGCAATCTAGTCATTAGGCAGGAAGGGCTTGGTTTCAGGGGCTCACACATATACGGGAAGTGCTTGTGACAAGGAGGATGATTTTTTTTTTTAAGAATACAGCTTTAACTACTAACTAAAAAATAGTAGCTCAACCCAAAAGAGGGAAAACATTAAGAAAAACAGTAGCCCTGTGCCTGGAGTGGTTAGACTGTGCTGTCAGAGCATCAGTAACTTTAAATCCGTGTTTGAAAATGACTTAGAATCACTCGGACCAAGTTCCAAGGTTACCCGTGAGCCTGGAAGGCTGTGACCTGTTAACAGTATAAAGATGGGAACATTAAATTAGAATGACTGGTAATCACATGTTACCAAGACAGTGATTTGCTCTTTCGTGCCTGCCCCTGTCAGATGGGAATTCCAGTGACGGACGCTGCCTATAACCAGATTGGCCCTCTGTGTAGTTGAAGTGCGAGTTATGAGCCATGGCAGACGGAAGCCATGCTGTACAGCAGCCAGTGGTTTGGGGGCACGGGCACAGAAGAAGGTCATTACTGGAAAGGGTCGATAATATTCATGTCGCACAGTTGGTTTCTCAGTGGGTAGTTCTTGAAGTCTGGATGTGATCCCCTCAGCTATCTTAAGGTTTCTCTGCATGTGAGAGAATGACATCTTACCTTCAGGGATAAATAAATGACAGTGCCAGAGAGTGCTTGGAAGGTCATACAAAAATAACTGAAGCATTTAACTCGTAAAGGCAGCAGATGATACATATACAAAAGAAGATCAATTTGTGTCTAACTGCTGCTGTTTTTTAGCAATGGAAAAAGGAATGGATTCTTGACATGATCAAGATGAGATGGTGGCATTCAGTAGTTTTTCTCTGCTACCTTTGGGTGGCAGCATTTGCTGCATTGGACCATGGGAGTGGAAAACAATTCAGTCCCATTTGGGAAGTTTTGCCCTAGTCCCCAGGAGACTCTAACCTTGCTGAGAAAACAGTAACTTTTGGTTTTCTCATATCTCTGTGCCTAATGGAGTCCATTCTACATTGTGGGCTCTAGACAAGTGATATTTTTTTTTTAATACGTGCATTCCAGCTTTCCTTTGGACCTCCAAGAAGAGTAATTATTTGAAATTCTGTCTGTACAGAATTTATTCTTACTAATCAAGAAAGTTAGTTTGGTCTATATTGGTCACCAGTTCCGAGTAGAAGAACTTAAAATGAAGATAGATATGACTAGCAGCAGCTTAAATGGGACAGAAATCTGTCCTCCCTCTAAACGAATGACTTGATGCTTATCTGAGAGCCATGGAAACTTTTTATACCCAAAGCAGCTTGTGTGAAAACTAATGTTACCTTCCAGAATTCTGCCTCCAGATCAGCATCTTTCCTGATCATCTCTCCATCCCAACGAGCCCTATGAAACTAGAACCATATTCTAATCTAGATGGGCAGAACTGAAGCACCTCACTCGAGTATTCATGAAGAAGAGTTTTGGGTTTGGGCCCCTCATGGTACATTCAGCAGTAAAATGTAAATCTCAAGTCGATTATAGTAGTTTTTAGTACATAGTGATTGAATGAAGACGCTTGAACGCAGTTCTTAAGAGGCATATAAAGTATCCTTTAGATCTCAGTCCTGCCTAACTGGGAGGTCATGACATATTGTCATTTTTTCTCTCCACTCATGTAATCTTCACATAGGAGGAATCCTCGCATCATTAACCTTGCTAGTAATGGTACCACGAACACTAATAGTGGTACCCACATCCATTTATGCCTTGCTTTTTCTAGTCACCCACTTGATTATGCCAGAAAGAAAATCTCGAAATGTTTTTAAAGCAGCTCCCTTAGCCTCCTCCCAGGAGGCAAAGTAGGTCGTGCTGTGGGGAGCATAAAGCCTCTCTTCATGCCAGGGGCCTCCTAAGATAAGACCAAGGTACGGTTAAACAAACTGATCTCACGCTTGGCACAGTTGAGATGTCTGCTATGGAAAATAGCACACATTACTTCAAGGCCTGCTGAAGAAAAGTTTAATCAATGAATATTATCATGCAAGTAGTGTCTTTAATAGCTAGCAGTTAATGGAAAAAAGGTGGTCTCCCTAGTGAAGGAACTGGCAGATTTCTAAATATGCTGGTAATATCTCATTTCGCTTCTTTATTCCTGAAGGTGGACAGTTTTTTAGGATACCCAGAGATTTAGTTTTGCTTAAGTTTTGTCACCTGTAATGAAATTTTAGCTTCAGAAAGTTACCTTTGTTTAGTCCCCTAGACCTGAAGTTATAATTTTTAATTTAACTATTGCTTGCCACCATTTGTCTCTAGCCATGATACCAGCAGGTTAGTTAGTACTTGTGGATACAGTGAGATGGGGATAAAAAGTACATGTATGGGTAAACATGCATAGGAAAAAAAAAGGTGTAGGATTCAGAACTCTCCATTCACTTTGATCTCAACTTTAAGAGATAATTTCCTCATATTGTGGTTCAGTAAGGTTACCTGTGGAGATGCTATTCCTTATGGCAGCCAGACGTGGGCTTCTTCAGTCTTGTAGGATTTCCTGAGTACTGAAAAAAATAAAAAGTGGCATATTTATTTCAGTGTGACTAGAACAACAACAAGTCTGTGCCATAGATGTCCATGTGCTCTCAAGACTGAGTGTTGAATCAAAATTTTAACCCATCAGCCTAGTTCAAGCCAGTACATCAAGGTACCTTACAGGTCTTAGGCCCAGAAAGACTATCCTTCAGGCTTAGACTGTAGATTTTGAGTTAGCTTACTTATGTGTAAATTACCAATGCATAGTCATCTTTAATGTACTTGGTGTCTGCTGTAATTTGGCATCTGTTTTGTTTCAAACTAATGTACACAAGGCTGATCAAATTCTAGTTAGGTTTAGTGTCACATACCACAACCAAGGCTTCATCTGTATACTAATACAGCCTGAGTACTTGACCTCAGGTCCAGCCTACCATATGAACATCTAATGTACTCATAATACATCATCTGTTATCATGCCATTGACCTTGGCCATGTATTTCACAAGTGCCAGTAGTGTGTTTTTGCTGTGGAAGGAGGGATAGAATTGTCACCAACCCAGAAGAAGCCTACTAATGCCGCTGTTGATTATCTGTCCTAGTACTGATCTCTTAAGACAAGCCTAAGTGCTTCACTCTAGATTCCCACCAGGCTGAACTCCTACCCAGATGCCCATTACAGGATGGGTCACTCTGTAAGTGCATAGCACAGCTTTAGCTAAGTCAGAATGATGTGTTGGTGAGAGCCCTTGATCCACATTTTAATAGTGGTCTGCTGACCTGCAGTACAGCAAATACTTTTGTCTAATCTGCAAAGTTTCTTAGCATCTAAAAGATCAACAGTTGGGTGAGCTACATGGTACTATAGTTTTTCTTTGTATGTACTCACTAAGAGCGACTTTAGGATCTGTGGGATATCTAATACTTTGATGAACTTGGAGCTTTTCAAATAGTCTCATTAATGTCTGTCTTTGTCTTCTACATAGCAATACTGTAGAAGCTAAGTGATTATTGGCTGATGCTTTTCTTTGAGTTATATGGAGCTACAAATACAGTATCCCTATTTTTCTAGGCTTATGCAACCTATATGTTCTATTCCATTACATTAAAGTTCTCTTATAAGTCCATGTTTAACACTGCTTTTGACCGTGAAACTGTTAACAGGTGGCTGCAGCTGGATCCACTTCTTGAGAGGTGAGATTTGTTTGGCTGAGACTTTTAGGTCCCTGGACTTGTTTCATTTACTACTGGGGAAATGTGTTGTAGAACACAGGACCTAGGCTTTGCTTCATCTCCCTCATTTCTCCCATAAGTGTTTGACTGGGCGGTTTCTTTGAGGCTCACCATTCTTTAAATTCAAGAAAAGAAAATCTTTGTGAAATTCTCAGGAAATAGGGAAAATCTTCTACTTACAATAAAGTGGAGGAGAAGTTTTTCTCTTCCTTTTTCCTCCCTCACACCATTTCTCAGAAAAAGAGGGAGATAAATTGAAGGGGGTCCTCTTGCCAAGCTAGAGGGACCAGTTCAGATACTTGAGGCTGAATTAGGGGAGGTTCAGCCGGACACGCTAGGCCTGCGATCTTTCGCATCAGCAGCACGTTTTCAGTGGTGGTTTTGTTGGCAGGGCAGCAGACAAACTGGGAATGGTTTGGTCTTTGTTGCCTTTCTGCTCCCCTTTCTGAGCCCTCTTCTCAGCTGCTTCCTCATCCCAAAGACCTGATGATGGCAGGCTACCCATTGATTTTGCAGAATCACCTCTGACACCACCATTGAGGATTCCATAATGCCCTATATTCTAAACATTTGTCCACCCTGATCAGAAACTTGCATTCTTTGGTGAATCGTACTGTCTGTTTGCCCCTTAGCTGTTAGCTTGTTAACCTAAATGAAACTGTTTAGAAAGCTAAGGGGCAAGGGAGGGAGCTTTCCTCGATGCTCCAGGCCACTTCTTCCTTCCCACTGCTTCTTGTTTTCACTAGACTTCCATTTAGCTCAAAACTCATCGTTAACCAACTCAGTCTTCCACCCCTGCACGTTGCACTGTTCTCTACCTGGTTCTCCGATGCAGTAAGAAATTGAACTCAGCTAGAGTAGCCTCTGAAAGAACCTCTTAAATCTTAGCTTTTTCTGAATGTCATTCAACTATACTGATTGGAAACAGTGATGATTTTTTTATATTTTTTGAGTGCAGCAAACTGGGCAGTGCAAATTCCAAGTGTATGAGGCATGTAGATAAATTGGTCTGGCGTTTCTCTGTGTCCGAGCGGGCTTCACTTGTGGTGCCAGCGATCAGTTGTCTGTCCAGATCGGTCTCTTTTTTTCTCTTAACGTGTGTCTGTCTGTCTTAGGTTCTCTTTGTAAAGAGCCCTTTCCTGGCCAAGTCTCTTCTGCGTCGCTCGTGCCACTTACTCCGTTTTGGACCCTCCTTCAATCCAGTGTTCCTGTGCTTCAGCCTCCATTACCCTTAGAAATGCCACCCCCGCCTCCCCCCTCCCCCAGAGTCACCTCCTCCCCCACCCCCCACCTCCTCCTGGAGAGGATGGTGAGATTCAGGAGGTAGAGATGGAGGATGAAGAAAATGAAGAGCCTCCTGCCCCAGGAACCGAAGAAGCTGCCCCCTTAAAGCCCTCTGTAGCAACTCCAGCTGTCAGCAGCCAGGTGAGTGGCACCATGGGAATCTTGGAAAGGAATTGGGATTGAGTGGCTTTTTGTTAAATGAGTGCAGCTTTTTAAAAAGTGTCTTGTTTGTTTTGTTTTTAGAAGAGATTGTTTAACTTATGTCTAAAACTCATCAGAAGTTTTTTTTCTGTTTAGAGTTCAGTTGATTCCATCACCTCCAACTCTACTACTACCAGAGCAGTGAAGAGGAAAGCCTCAGACACAGCTGCTGGAGTGGCCCAAAGATCAGCCACCATTGGTGGCTCTCCAGTTCTCTATAGCCAGCCAGCCATAACTACAGGTGAGCCGCATCTTGGCACTTAACCTGGTGATGTGGTAGAGCTGTCGAGTTAGATTTTTCAGATCCAGAAGTGGATTTTTAAATCTGCTTAGGTCCCTGCCTCACTTTGTCAGCAGCTTTCACATAGCAATGCAGAGGTCAGGAGAGACTTAGAGGCTAGTTCTGACCTTGCCACCGATCAGCAGGGTGGCTGGGGGCGAAGACCAGAACTCTTTGAATCAGACTGTTGGTCCTGTCTGTCCCACTTCTCCTACACAGTAGATACAGTCCCTCCTGGTGATTAACTGACTCTCTAGGTTGTACTAGTTTAAAGTTGAGGGATCAGTTAGATATTCTAAATTTTACTAGATGTAAGAGTGGAAAGGTTAAGATGAAAAAAGGTTTTTCTTTCCATCTTATACTTGATTCTTAAGTATCCTGTAGGACAGCCTGAAAGTATAAACAAGTAGAGTTTTGTTCCAGAAATCTCTGTTAAGCTCAAACTCTCTGTCTAGTCACGTGTTATTTGTCATTTATGTGATTTTTATGATGTCTCTGTCAGGTCACCAAACTGTAAATGTCAGCCATCAACAAACCTCAGATATCGCCCATCAAACAACAGGCACCAGTCACCAAGGCACAGGCGTGGGCCTACAGTCAAGTTATCTGGGACTGGCAGCATCTCCTGCTGTCATGTCCTATCCTGAGTGCCCCTTACCGTTAGAATGACTGTTCCCACATTACAGCCAGTCCCATCTCGAAGCCTGCTGAGCACTGCTAGCGTCACAGAGCCTCCGCCTCCGCCTGCTCCCAAAATGCCGCCACCTGAGAAGAGCAGGAAGGGGAAGAAGGACAAGGTATAGGATGTGTACTCATAACTCATTTATAGAAATAGCAAGTGACTATTTTGGTTGGAGAACTGTGCTAAAGGATTCAGATTTCAAGTATGACTTAGGAATTCATTAGGTGGGGACTTATCAGTAGGGAGTTGCAGAGCTGGTATAAGACTGCAGGGGAGGTGAGACATCAAATTGGAAAGGCCTTGAATTCTGGGTAACATAATGTGAACCTGGCTTAGTAGTCTGTAGAGGAGAATGGGAAGGCCTTTGGGAAGATTATGTCAGTACGGAGACAGGTTGGGGGAGGGGATGAGCTCCCATATTAGACTGGCAACAGTGTAGGAACATAAAGGATGGGTTTGAGAGATAGATGGATGTTGCAGAGGGAATCAGCATGAATGGGGGGGGCAGCGTAAGGAAATGAAAGATGGAACCAAGGATAGTGTCTTAAGCAGCTTCCATATTAGGGAGTTAGAGAAGTAGACAGCTCTGAAGAGGATATTCAGTGGAGCCAGTAGAAAGAGAAGAAAACAGAAGAAGATAGACGTTGTGTAGGATGCGAGCCTTTTCCCCATGATGGAGCAGCTTTGGGTGTCGTAGAATTAATCGTGTGCGTGTGCGCTGCTCGTTAGAAGTAATTTTATCGCCATGAACATCACAATCGTGTTTGTTTAGATGATGAAAGCTGAAGTGTGTATAGCCCAGGGGATACAAGTTGTAGCATGTATTTCTTCTCAGGACATGATCATCTGTCCTCTGCCCACCAAACTGTGCTTATTACTGTTACCCTAACATACACTATAATACACCCCCAGCTCTAACTCCTCAAATCCTGCAGGAGTTCAGTTCACGTGTTACTTTCTCAATAAAACTTGTCCTGGTCCCACTCAGGCAGTGATCTCAGCCTCTTTCAAATTCCCAGTCACCCATTTTTTGTCTTAGATGTCCAAGTACTCGAGGAGCCATTTGGGGTCTTCTGTGGAGTTCAGCGGCTGTCTTTTGTTGAATAAGGGAATAACTTAACACAGATCTGTAACTCAGTGGTCATGTCAGCTGTACAGATCTTCTGATATTCCCCCTCTTTTTCTTTTAGCTTTCTTGCCTTGTCCCATTCTTCAAGTTAGTGCTTATATTCTTTCATTTCTTATATATAATTTTTTTCCAAATTTTACATTGGACTTTTTCAGGGGAAGAAGAGTAAAACAAAGATGCCATCTCTGGTAAAGAAGTGGCAGAGCATCCAGCGGGAGTTAGATGAAGAGGAGAATTCCAGCTCCAGTGATGAAGACAGGGAATTGACATCACAGAAGCGAATCGAGGAATGGAAACAGCAGCAGTTAGTCAGGTATAGTGAAGTTTGGTTTTTGTTTTTAAGGTGTAGAGGAGGGTTTTTATCCTTCAGACCATAGCCCTGCCCTGAATTTTATCCTTTCCTGAGAAACAGATCCACATATAAAAATATTTCCCTAGTATTTCAAGGCCTCATCCAGACGCTGGTGTTTCTAAAGGCTTTTTTTGGAAGTTGAGCACTTAATTGAATGACTTTGGCCATAACTTGTGAAGAAAATTAACTCCCACACTAGAAGGATAAATGGAGAAATTATACAAAATACTTGTTTCAGGATGATGTGCGGGACGCATAGAAAGCTTATTAAATACTTCCCACCGCCCAGCAACAAAGGAACCTAGGGGTTCTTTCTCTTTCTGGCAAAGTAATGTGTCCATTGTTTCCCACAGTGGCATGGCTGAGAGAAATGCTAACTTTGAGGCCCTTCCTGAGGATTGGCGTGCTCGACTAAAGAGGAGAAAAACAGCTTCAAACACATAATTCATTCGGGGCGTTTGTGTTTCATTTTCATGTACAGTTAAGAGTCTTACCACTTTTACTGTTGTCAAATAAACTGTAAATGTTTTGGGAGAGAGCTTTGAATTTCCTGTTGGTGAAAGAACACGTGGAAAACCAAGTTTTCCCTCCCTTCTGAGGATTGGAATCTTAACAGCTGAAGTTAAAGGGCCAGGCCCTTGGACTTCCTCTGCCGCCTTGGCCGTGTGTGTACACTCACGCATCAATTTGATGCTAAGGCTGAGGAGCAGTATCTCGATCACAGGCTTAATAAGGTGTGAAGGAAGGAGAGGAGGGGGCAGGGAGGTCTGAGGGTTCATCCAGATCGCTGTAGTTTCCATCTATCCCCAGCAAGTGCAATTAAGCAGAAGGCAGCAGTTCTCTTTTTTTCTCCAAAACCTTGTTCCTTGCTTATAGCCTGGTAATCCCGGCCTGTGCTTCCAGCCTCGGGCTGCTTGCCGCCCATGTTCTGCAGTACCTAAGTCTGATGGCTCTCCCATACTGACAAGTGTCTGCACTGGTCCGCAGAGATTCTAGAGCTGAATGTCCTCATCTCACTTGGACACTCGTGGAGGCTGGGTTCAGAATTTCACACAAGCAGCAACGATTGCCGTTTAATATCTCCGGTAAAGAAAGGTGGATGTCTCAATCCCTTGCTCTTAGCAGAATGAGTATGTCAGAAGCAGTCAAGTCCAGATTAATGTTTCTTTGTCTCCATTTTACCCTGTTCTCAAGTGCACGGTCCTTCTGTCTCTTTGTACTTACCGTCTGTACAGATTCCAATATTTAAACAGCGGTTCCCTGTTCTTTGTGTTTTGTATCTTATCACAATCAGGTAAAAGTCACTTTCTTTAAACTGAAGGAAAAGCAAATTGTGTTTTAGAGCTGTTTGTATTTCTCCCGTTTTTGACTTTGTAGATTTGTATATATGCACTAATAAAATCTTTTTACACTTCTGATACAAGTGATCCTTGTGATTCTCTGAACTCTGTCGCTCTGTAACTAGCCTATTCTCACACATCAGCTTCCAAGTACGAGCATTTGTTTGCATTTGGAGCAAGTTTCTCTATAGAAACAATGTTGTTATACTGCAGCAGGATTCTTGGGCAAACAGACCAAAGCCTATTAAATACACAAGGTGAGGCTAATATATTGCTACCTTAATACTTTTTTGGATCACAACCACCACAAAGAACAATGTTTCTATAGGAAAGTGTTTTCCTATGTCCGACTTGGGGTGCCAAAAAGACAGAAAAGGCTTGCTGAGCGCTCCTTGCCTCCTGTCATACGGCAGCAGGGGATCCTTATAAGTACCTGGCGATGGAACTAGGAAGCAGCTTGGGAACGACCCCCCCATTTCTTACACTTCACACGATTGTTGGGCCCCAGGGCCTCCTCGCTGTGTCCCAGGTGCAGCCTGTTTGCCACTCAGGAGGCCAAAGCTCACAAGAAAGAGGAAGTTCAGCTTAAGAACCGAGGTTTAGATGCTTTTGTCCATGTTGACGTTGATGGTCTAGCCCTCTGTCTGAGCCTTAGCTGTGTTGGTGTGTTCGTATGAAGACATTTGTAGGATGGAGATACTTGTAGTAAGCTACCTTGTAAGGGTTGGCTTGAGGCTCCACTGCAATCGAATGAAGTGCCTTTGTTATACTGCTGTATTAGAACAATATGGCTCGTCACCACCTAAGAGACCTTGGGTGAGTCTGCCTGAATGAGGGGACCGATGTAGACAGCTCCTCGGGCCCCTTCCAGGTCCTGTGAACGGTTCTGTTAGACACGTTTGGCAAGAGCCAAAACAGTGCCCAGAGAAATAAATACAAAATTGGACATTAATGCAGCCCTTGTAAACTTGTTCTGAGATTTAAAAAGCAAACAAAAAGATTTCTCATTCCTGCTTTTATTTTTTTTTCCACTTAGACTTTGTAAACACCCAGGGGCTTTAATGGGTATTTCCTCATAAAAATCTCCATTTCTCCAGGCTGAAGATTCTTTAAGTTTTCAACCATATGCAGTCAGTGCCCAGTCTTGTCGATTCTAATTTCCATGCCCGTATCTGTCTCCTTTTCTCCATTCACCACGGCCAACACTGCCTTTAAAGAGCATCTATTCTGTAGGGGAAACGTCTCACACAGATAAGTAAATAGCAAGTATATACACCTGTAGCATGGGCTGAGCTGGAGGAGTTCACTTGGAGCTGTTCTGATCCCATTGCTGAAGGACAGAGGGCACCAGAAGCTGTGGCTCATCCCTTGCTTCCACATACCTGGTGGCTCTCATCAAAGACGACTAGTAGTTGATCCCTCCATAGGATACAAGTACTATAGAAAGGCGCCATGTTTTGGGGGACATGTTGCTTGGGGATCAGGCGGCCGGCCTCTCCCCTTGGGCTACCAACAAAAGGACAGGGTCAGGGGTTTGTCCCTGTCCCCAGCAGCTGCAGGCACGCAGCATCGAGAACGTAGGCTAGACGTGTGTCTGGCTGCCTCTTCTACTTAGCGTTTGTATCTCCGAGCACAGGCGGCTCAACAGTGATCCTGAGAAATGGACATTTCCAACCTTGGTGGCTACCTCAAGCTTCCCTGGGCACCTGAGCTGGTGCTGGAAGGCCCGGAGGAGGGGCTGCCTATCCCTCCACCGCTCTTCAGAGAGAACTGGTGATGGCCAGTTGTCACCAGCTGCAGAGGACAAGGAGGATGAGAACTGAGAGGCGGCCGTTAGATTGGGGAGGGGAGGAGGGCGAAGAGCACTTACGAAGCGCCTACTGTGTGCCAGGAGCTGAGGGCTGGACGCTGCACGGGCATTACCTCCTTTGATAATTGGCGGTTAAAGATAGCAGTTGGTGGTCTGCAAATCAAATGAAGAGACGGTGGGTACCTTCGGAGGGAGCAGCTGAGGGCAGAGGGCTTAGAAGAGGAGGAGTCCAGAGAGGGGTGGCTCGGACTCCAGCGAAGGCAGGCGGCGATCCGGGCCGGTGGAAGGAAGGAACGGTGCGGGCCGTGCTGCTAGCGGGCGTTTCCCTTTTCTAAGCCTCTAAAATGAAAGGGCTGGGACTTTGGCACTCCCCATTTTTGAGCTGTGCATGAACGAACGAACGAACGAACGAACGAACGAACGAACGAATAAATGGGCCCTCTGGCACAATGGCTTCGGTTAAACACAAACCGGGGGTAGGGCGCCTGGGGGGCGGAGCCGCTGCCGGGCGCCGGCCAGTGGCTCACAGCTCCCGCCCCCTTCATTCAAATCTCCCGACATGCTCCGCCCGCCCTGGCGCCAACCAATCCCAGCCAGGAGGGGGCGGAGCCTTGGGCGCACGTGCGCTTAGGTTCCCACAGCAATGGCGCGTGCGCCCCACGCGTTGTGCTTCCGAGTTCGCCCGCGCTGTTGCCAGGCAACCCTGGGTGTTCGTTCGCGGGGTCCGCGCTGGGTTCCTGGAGCCTCCGGTGCAGGTGCGGAGCCCGGGGTCTCCTGCATGAAGTCCTCGCGGACCCTTGGCCCCCCAAGGGTTAGGGCCGCAAGGGAGCTTAGCGAGCATCTTAGTCCAGCCCCCTACCCCCGTTTTACAGATGGGAAGACTGAGGCCCAGAAAGGGGCAGGGACTTGCCAAAGGTTACACAGGTAGTAAGTGGAGGCCGAGTCGGCATTCGAACCCAGGGCCCCTGGGTCCAAGTTCCAGTTGTTGGGAGAGGTCAGAAGTCACCCAGCTCCTTCACCAGCTCTCTGGGGTCTGCCCTGATCTCAGTTTCAGCCTGACTCCCAGTGCCCTCCCCTCCTTGATTCCCCCGACCCTTCCCACTCCCCCCCATCTTGTCCCCTGCCTGTGAGGGAGCTCTAGCCAGTTTGTGAGGTGGGAAAATGGGATGGGGGGGGACAGTCACATACTTTTCTTCCCCACCTACACTCACCTTAGGGGGTGCCCACTGCTGCCCCATCCTCCAACCTCCTCCCCACCCCAGCCCTCATAGGAGGGACCTTGCCTTTTTTTAGATAAGGGAATGGGGGGGGGGGGGGTGGCAAGAAAGGGGGAGACGGTGGGTTTGGCTTGTCATTTCTTGGTATTGTAGCTTTTTTCAAAACAAGGAGCTGCCGGTTTGGAAGCTTAGGATGTAAGGCTGGGTCCCCTGACATGATTAATCTAGAGCTCGTGAGACAAGAATAACATGTATCCAGTAATAGCAACGGAGCTGAAGCAGGTCAGTACGCTCTCACCCCTTGGAATCTGAGTTCTGGATGCCATTCGAGTCCAAAAAGTAGATCAGAGGAGGTTCCTGAAGAATATCAAGTGGTGTGTTCTGATGGGATTGCCATGGGATTTTCTTAGCAAAGATACTGGAGCTGTTTGCCATGTCTTTCTCCAGTTAAGGCAAACAGAGGTTAAGTGGCTTGCCCAGGGTCACACAGCTAGTGTCTATGACCAGACTGAAATTCATGTCTTCCTGAGTCCAGGCCCAGTGCTTTATCCACTAATCCATCTAGCTGCCCCACGCCCTTTACACATATTATTTAATCCTCACAACCACCCTGAGAGGTGCTCCGAACAATAATAACATTTACTGTTCTCGTCTTCCTCACCATCGAAGGTCCCTTACCCCTCCTAGATGGGAATTGCTTACAATCATGAGTGAAAGAGCAGGCACCCCATCCTTTGGCCCAGCCTCTGTGCTCACCTTCCGTGACTGCCTCAGTAGTAGATAGCTGCTTTAAATACTTGCCCTCATGACAGGGGAACTGCCTGACCTAGGTGTCCTTTCCTTTCTTAGCATTTCAAAGATCCTTATGATACCTTTATGAACCATCATCTTCAGTATTATGGATACTTCAGAGGTAAGAAATAAAGCTTGTCAGGGCTCTTCGAGCAGAGCCTTCTCACCATCTCTTAAGCATTGTATAAAACTCTCACTCATTCATCATATGCCCAAAAGGTGGCAGTCCCATCTAGCACCCAGAGAAAAGAAAGCAAGGTCAAGTGATTTGCCAAAGGTTCTTATTAGCAAAAGAGGTTGAAAAGTGAGGACATGCCTCCAGAAATTCAGTTCAATTCAAGCAGTTGTTGCATTGCCCAGTGCCTGCTTATATGCCTGCTGTATACCTGAGACACTTGCGATGCCAATGGTGCACCCTTGCTTGCAAGCAACTTTTTAGAAAACACTACTAGCCATTAAAGGTTTGATAAATCTGGGGCACAGCCGATGCCAAACACCCATTTCTAGTGGACCTTGGATATGAATGAGAAGGGAATAAATAAGATAATATGGGAATGGATTGGAATGAATAAGATAATGCTTTCAGATATATTCTAGAATAATAAACCTACCTGTCAGAGAGACATTAAAACGTCGCCTTTTCACTGGCCAGAGGTTGGTTTGTTTATTGGTTGATTCACAGAGTAAAGGAAAAAGCACAGGAAAGTTAGGAAAACCAAGTCTGTAGTCCAGATTTTATCCTTATGTCCTGTGGCTTCTCTGAGTCTCAGTCTCCTCTGTAAAATGCCAGGGTTGGATGTGATCATCTGGAAGATCTCAAGCTTCTCAGGTGAAATCCCAGGCCCTTTGAGTGGGTGGAGAATTCCTGTGTCTCTTTTTCTTAGAAGCATTCATCCCTGGAAGTGGGGGCGGGGAGGATGGGGATCATAGACTTAGAAATAGAAGGGACTTTAGACGTCATTGAGTTCAGGATTTTGTGCTTGTCTTGGAGGCGATAGGGGGCAACTGGATTTTGAGTGGAAGGGGTGACATGATCGGATCTGTGCTTCAGGAAAATCCCTTTGGAGGCTGAATGGATGACAGGCCGAAGTGGGGAGAGACTTGAAGCAGGCAGACCCAGGAGCTGCTATTGCAGTGAGGGGGATAAGGGCCTGCACCCGAGAGAGAGCAGTGTCAGAGGAGAGAAGGGGGAATGTTCAACATATGCTTCCAAGGTGAAATCGATAGGTCTAGGCAACAGCTTGGATATGGGGGGTGAGAGATGGTGAGCCCCCGAGGGGCTGGCAGGATGATGTTGTCCTTGACAGCAATGAGGAAGTTTGAGGTGTGGCCGGGTTGAGGGAAAAGATAATGTTTAGACATGTTGAGTTGAAGATGTCTACTGGACAGCCACTTGGATAGGCAGTTAGAGATTCAAGCGTGGAGGCCAGCAGAGGGATTAGGGAAGAACAGGTGGATGTGAGAATTGTCAGCATAAAAATGGTGATTAAACCTATGGGCGATGATGAGCTTTCCCAGTGAGGTGGTGTAGAAGGAGCAGAGAAGAGGAGCCGAGACAGAGCCCTGTGGGATGCCTGTGGTTAGAGGGTATGACCTGGAGGAGGAACCAGAGAAGGAGTCTTCAGTTCTACAGTCTCAGACAGAGCCTCCCTAGTGTGGACCATAATTTAGAGGCACCGTGCCAACTGCCAAGGCAGCACCTTTCAGACCCAAAGTCCCCTCCATGCCCTGGTGAGACTTTGGACTCTACATATAGATGCCCAAATACTCAAATGTATTTGTGAGTGTTATGCTCTCTAGTGGTACCGATCACACCCTGCCCACACCCACCCAGCCTGTGGAACTCCTGTTCATGTTCTCCCATAAGTTTGTCACGGTTGGCCAAACTGGCAGTTAGGCCTCCCTTGGTTTCCCTTTATACCTAGATTATCTTGACGGGGCACACAGTCTGTGCATTGTTTAGCCCTCACGGTAGCCATGTGACCAGACAATTTCTTTTTCACTCATACCTTTACCTAATGGCATAATTTACTCCTGTTCTCCCTCATTGTTCCTCATTTTTATTTATGTTACCCAGAGAGTACCTATCCATTGCCATCTGAGTGGTAGTTCTTTTCACTTTGTTGGAAACCTTAATATTCTATGATTTAAATATATCGTTGTTATTGTTATAATATTGTAATTATAATATTGTTATAATATTGTAATAACATTCTTATTAAAATGATAGGCCTTTGTCTCACAAAGAAATTTAAGGTCAATAAAAGAATTTTGTAATTTTTACATGTAAGCTGACCTCATCTCCCCCTATTCTATTCTAGTCCCAAGTCACACATTTGAAGTGGACAACAAGTCAAAAATCTCTTTTAAGTTATTTCCACCAAGCATTCTCCTTACCTCCTGATCAAAGGTGGAGCTACTTCTGTTCACTGAATTAATCAAGGACCTCTTCCTTCTCTTAGCATTTTAGACTATGACAATGATGAAATATTGACGAGATTTTCTATTTAGAGGGGACCAAAGAATTAAGACCAAAGTGCCGTCCTCCTCTTATTTTGTAACACGTCGTCTAAAGCGAGGACGGGAGTGTGGACGATAGACATTCTTGATTTTCCTGTGTGGCCAATCAGGCCAAGCTGTTCAAATAGATATGGATCTCATTCAGGATAGCACACTTTGTTTTGGAGCTGTATGAATCACCACAATGTCATCTGAAAACAGATATCTAGAGGACCTCACTATCTAGAGAGAATCCCTTCCTATAGATATGCCCTCCCAAAAGTTCACCCCACGGGCTCTTTCCAGTGTGCTGGATGCCTTCCTCGCTCTCTCCCACTCTCCAGAAGGTACGGGAGCAGCTGTCTAGCTGTTCACCCTGTGCACCCTCACTCTCGTCACATGACTAGCCCATCTTCTCTTCCCTGATCGCATCCTTACTCAGCATGCTCTCCCCTGCCGTGTACCTTCCCATTACTCTTTGGGTGTTCTTCTTATTGAGCAGTGGTGTTCCAGGTCTTAGTGCCTTACGTCAAGACCAGTAAAATGTTTGCACTGAAAAGTCCTTAGGGGCAGCTAGGTGGTGCAGTGGATAGAGCACCGGCCCTGAAGTCAGGAGGACCTGAGTTCAAATGTGACCTCATACCAAACACTTGACACTTATTAGCTGTGTGACTCTGGGCAAGTCATTTAACCCCAATTGCCTAAACAAAGAAAAAGAAAAAGAAAAAATAGTCCTTGGCTGTTATGGGGAGCTTGGGGTGAGTACCAAGTCTTCACAGTTGCCCAGAAGCAGTCCAACCTGCTCTCCTCCTCCTTCTCCTCTCTGACTCTGGGCCCAGTTCACTGTCCATCTGTATTATCTGTATCAAATATACCCAAATACAAATGGGAAAATTCAGACACTGCTAAATGAAAAATGAGAACTCCACGGGGTTTACCAGCAGTTTAGCTTGTCTGTCTCTAAGAAGGCAGCGTGTAACTCCATCAAAAGTAAAATGCAATTCTTGGCTCAGTTGCTCATGGTAACAATCCAAAGTGCTTTTACGATGCCCTGAAGGCCACTTATGGGCCAAAGACCTCTGGTGCATCTCAACTACTCAGTGCTGATGGAGCCACATTGATTAGTATAAAGACACAGCCCTGGAGAGATGAGCTGAACACTTCCATAGCATTCTCAACAGACCTTCATTAACCAATGCTGAAGCTGCTTATCTTAGGTTGAAGTCAGTCCCTCTCTAGCTGAACTTCCAACTGAAGAGATTTTTGAATGCCATTAGGTTCCTCTTGGGTGACAAAGTACCTGGTGCTGCTTCTATTCCAGCTGAGATTTAAAGGCAGGAGGGGTCCACTGCTTGTGCAAAAGCTGATTGAAATCTTCTGGGTTATATGGTAAGAGGAGCTTATTCTCCAGGAGTTCAAGGATGCTTCCATTGTCAATCTCTATAAAAGAAAAGGAACTAGATTGTCCTGTGATAATCGGGGGGGGGGGGGGAAGGGAGGGGATCTCTCTTTTAGTCATTTCTGGCAAGATTCTTGGCAGAGTCCTCCTTAATTGGCTGATCCTTCATCTGGAAGATGGTCATCTACCTGAGAGCCAGTGTGGCTTCAGAAGGGATCAAGGAACAGTCCAATGTGGTGTTTACAACTCCAGGAGAAATGCCAGGAGCAGAACAGAGAATTTTAAACTACTTTTATGCTTTACTGCTTCTCTGTTCTATGAAGTGGTGATGCTCATAATCTCCATCACCTGTTTCCATAAGATTTGACACGAGTTTATATTCTAAACAAGTATCCCCTTTGAATCTATCTGGTTGGCAAATTATGACAGCAACCGTCGTCATCATAGACAGCACTTTCTGAGGTATTTGAAGGTCCATAAAGCACTTTATATGTAGTTATTTCATTTAATCTTCACAATAGCTGCACCAACAGTGATTTAGTGTGCCTGTCTTGCCAAGAGCTCTCCAAAGTTCACTATCTGTTTTTCACCATCTTTGTCATTTGATGAATGTGAGATGAAACTCCAGAGTTGTAACTTGCATTTTTGTTAGTGATTCAAAGCATTTTTTCATGTAGCTGTTAATACTTTGCATTTCTTCTGAAAACTTTTAACCACTTTATCTATTGGGGAGTGGCTCTTAAATCTTGTATATCTGTGTCACTTTTCTGTAGATCTTGCTTCTCAGATTTTTATCGTACGTCTTTCACACGACATTTTTCCACTTGATTGCTTCTCTTCTTAGACTAGTTACGTTGATTTTATTCTTGGCTTGCCTGAGGTTGTAAGTGGCAGAAGCTAGGTTCTTACCTCAAACAGGGATTCCAGGTTCAGCTTTCAATTGCAGACCCTGGTCCTGCCTCTGGGTAAACACTTCATCTTCCTGTGTCTTAGGGTATGGAGTGAGATGACCTCTGATGCTCTAATTAACTACAACATTTTATGAACCAGATTTTAATATTGCATCTTGTTTTGCCTGGACAGGATATTGCCCAGCCGTGAATTTCACCAGTAACACATTTGAGTAACTATGTAAATAAGCTGGCAGCATGCATTGAAGGATGTGAAGGATGCCCTCAAAAACTTGAAAATGTTTCTCTTTAAGTCTGGACTCTTATCTTTCT